CATGATGCCAAGGACGAGCTTGCTCTGATTGTTGATTACTTTGGTGTTTGATTTTTTCTTCTTCCTCAGGCGCTTCGCGGTGACCTTCTGCTAGTCGTGGTCGTTGTTGGCATGTGTGTGATGGATATTGTTGTAGTCGTTTATGGCGGTGGATGCGGTGTCGTGGTGGTCGACGTTGGCGATTGATTTGAAAGCTACAATGTGATTTTTTCCATGATTTGGTTATTGATGTTGAATTTTCTCGGGAAAATTGAAAGAGAGATAGAGACGGGAAACAGAACTGGGAAAATTGAGAGAGAGACAGAGAAAGGAATTGAAGCTTGGTTGGTAGGACTGGATTTGATAAATGCATCTAATTAGACTACTTTCAAGTACATTAACAATATTGTACTAATGAATCATAGCTATTCAATCTAAAATATTTCAATTGAATTAGTTTGTCATACTAATTAATATTTAAGATAAAATTTATAAATATTTTTCTTTTAAAAATAAAGTATATTTAGTAATTCACCTTTATTTATTAAGAAAATTAAATTAATAGTACATCTAGTATTATACCCTTTTTGGTCATTTCACACAGTCACAACTGTTTTACATAAAAGTTTACCAAACACTATTATACTACTTTTTTTTTTTTTTTTTTTTTTCCAAAAGTACTTTTACAAAAAAGTTTACCAAACACCTTGCTGCTTATTCTTACAGCACAGCAGAAACAACTTTTTTCAAAGCACATCAATATCAAACCAACCCTGAGAGCGGCAATACCTCAAAACCCAAAAGGGCTAGAGAAGAAGTTAACCAAGTTAGACTTTGGCATCTTAAACTTGGACATGTAAACTAGGATAAGATTCGCAAGATGTCGAAAGACAGATATCTGAGCCCATTGGGTAATGACCACATGGGCACTTGTGAACATTGTCTACTAGGGAAGATGTCTAAATCTCCATTCACTGGGAAAGGAGAGTGGGTCAAATATATACTAGCGTTAATCCACACAGATGTATGTGGACCTATGTCCATCACATCAAGGGGAGGTTTCTCCTACTATATCATATTCACCGACGATTACTCTCAGTTTGGCTATGTGTATCTTATGAAGTACAAGTTAGAATCCTTTGAAAAGTTCAAAGAATTCAAGAATGAAGTAGAGAAGCAAACTGGGAAACAGGTAAAGACCCTAAGATTAGATCAAAGGGGTGAGTATCTGAGTACTGAATTCCTAGATTATCTCAAAGAGTGTGGAATATTATCACAGTGGACTCCACTAGGAACTCCTCAACATAAAGGAGTTTCTGAGAGGAAAAACTGAACCTTGATGAATATGGTTCGTTCTATGATGAGTTCCGCTAATCTACCAATATCATTCTGGGGATATGCACTATACACAGTAGCTTATTTGCTAAATGCAGTGCCTTCTAAATCTGTTCCACAAACACCATATGAGATATGGTATGGGAAGACGCCAAGTCTTAAACATCTTAAGATTTGGGTTTGTCCTGCATACGTTAAGAAACAAGATGCAGGAAAGCTTGAAGCAAGATCTGTTAAATGTTATTTTGTGGGTATCCTAAACAAACCTATGGATACGAATTATATCACCATGACGACCATAAAGTCTTTATCGCCAGAACTGCTATATTCCTTGAGAATGAATTCGTTCTCAATGGAACTGGCAAAAGAATAATGGCATTGAAAGAGATTCTTGATAAGCCACAAACAAGCAATCAACAAATGGACAACCCTGTTCCTAGACCCCTAACTCCACGTAGATCTAAACAGGTCAACAAGCCACCTAAGAGGTATAGCTTGGATAATGACTTTGGGGACTTGCACCTTCTAGGTGACAATGACACAAGAGGACCCTAGAGACTACACTAAAGTAATGTTCAACATTGATTCAAAGAGATGGCAAAAGGCCATGATATCCGAGATGGATTCCATGTATCAAAATCAGGTCTAGACTCTTGTAGACCCTCCATAAGGTATAATACCTGTTGGAAACAAATGGGTCTTTAAGAGAAAGATAAACGCTGATGGGAACGTGGAGACTTATAAGGCTAGACTAGTAGCCAAGGGTTACAGGTAAGGAGAAGGGATTGACTACAAAGAAACCTTCTCTCCTGTAGCCATGATTAAGTTAATTCGGATTTTGCTTGCTATAGTTGCGTACCATGATTATGAGATATGGCAAATGGACATGAAGATGGCATTTCTAAACGGTTACCTAGAGGAAAAGCTCTATATGACTCAACCTGAAGGTTTCATGTCCAAGTTTGAAAAGACTAAGGTATGCAAGCTTCAGAGGTCCATTTATGGCAAGCCTCCAAGAGCTGGAACATTCGTTTTGATATTGAAATCAAATTGTTTAATTTTACTCAAAACAAAGACGACAATTGTGTTTATCAAAAGGTCGTTGGGGATGCAGTTGTATTCCTAGTGTTATATATAGATGACATATTACTATTCGGGAATGACACTGCAATACTTTCTTCTGTAAAAGTGTGGTTGTCCAAAACCTTCCACATGAAAGATTTGGGAGATGCATCTTATGTGCTTGGGATAAAGCTCTATCGTGATAGATCTAGAAAATTGATTGGATTATCCCAATCTATGTACATAGATAAGGTGATAAATAGGTTCCAGATGGAACAATCTAAGAAAGCTTTTCTTCCTGTGAGACATGGAATTCACCTTTCTAAATCCATAGGACCTAAGACTCTTGAAGAAAGATGGCAGATGAGTGTTATTCCTTATGCTTCCGCCATAGGAAGTCTTATGTGTGCCATGATATGCACAAGGCCTAATATCGCATATGTTGTGAGCATTACTAGTCGATATCAATCTAACCCAGGATCAGAACATTGGGTAGCTGTCAAGATGGTCCTTAAGTACTTAAGAAGAACTAAGGACATGTTCCTCGTTTATGGAAGAGCGACAGAGTTGCAAGTGGAAGCCTATATAGACACATATTTCCAATCTAAAGTCGATGCTAGAAGTTCCAACTCTGGATATGTGTTCCCTTTGAATGGTGAGGTTGTTAGTTAGAAAAGCAATAAACAAGTTGTAATTGTTGATTCCATGACAAAGGTTGAATATGTCACTGCAGCTGAAGTCGGCAAAGAAGCGTTCTGGATGAAGAAGTTCATTACTGAACTTGGAGTGGTTCTAACCATTACATCACCAGTAACTTGTATTGTGATAATAGTGGAGCGATATCTCAAGGCAAGGAACCCAAGGCTCATCAAAAGAATAGGCATTTTGACAAATGCTTTAATATCATTAGAAGATATGTCGCCAAGGTGAAAGTCAACATACTCAAGGTTGCCTCAGCCGATAACGTAGCAGATCCACTAATGAAGCCAATGTCTCAAATCCAACTTGACCGCCATATGGAAAAGATAGGTATTAGATACATGGGAATATGGCTTTGATTGCAAGTGGGAGATTGTTGGAAGTATGCCCACAAAGCCACTCATTTGATGTAATAGCTTTTGGAATACTATTGTGTTAAACTATTATATGTTTAATAAAGGGCAAAGCTTATTGTTAATCACTATTTATTGTATTATGTGTTTAAGCAATAAGGGAATCCAAAGAATGCATTTAATCTAAGAGAGAAATGATGTAAGTAAGTTAGATTAACGAGACCTTTCTTTTATGTTCATTCCTAAAACGTTCCTAGTCATAGGATTGTCAATTGGGCATTGACAATCCACTAAGGTTAGTATGTGTTATGTTAACTCAAGCGTAAGTATGACTAGTCCCATGTCATTTAGTGTTGGACGCTGAGACAAGCACATAGGTGCTCAAAAGGTAATTAAGTACACTGAACAACGATAAAAAAGGAGTTTGAACATACATCTCATGTAAGAACTCGTAAGTTGCAATATGTAAAGTAGTCTTTTGACCTAAGGCATCATAGATATCTAATGGTTACGTCCTTGATCTTTGATCATGTTAAGGGCATTCCATCGAGAGTGTCCACGACATAGTTGGGGTCAAGCTATCTAGTCATGTAGGCATATGAATGCACAACAAAGGATCTCTAACCTTCCATGGTGGAGGAAGAATACTCTGAGATATGATTTGGGAGTCTTTGGCCAAAGCATACGAATATGACTTAGGAAGTTTGTTCCAAATCATATTCAATTGAATCATATAGAGAAGTATCACATTGGATAATAAACATGAAACAAACTATCACTCAAACAATGTGATTAGGAGTATTGTATTAGAGAATGACCGTATTGCATGGCAATTGTAACTGGATAGGTTCTCCAACCACTTTTACTTAGCTTGGGTAGCCATGACATACTGCTAGATGTCACCTATGGTTTGTGGAAGCTTTGAAGATTAGCAAACACTAATCTTCATCAAAGGGAGAATTGAAATGTTGTTTCAATTCACAATCGATCGTTAAGAGTAACAATCGCCTACTACCTCACTAAATGGAACCTAATGGATCGTACACCGAGTAAGGATGGATGTGAAGATATAAAAGAGACGGATAATCAATTAAATGGTTTAATTGAGAATGGTCAAGATTAATTAATTAGTTGATTAATTATACAAAGGTTTGTGTTGGGCTGTTTAAGTTAGTTTTGGGTTTCGGGACCCCAAAAAGGTTTTTGGTCCACAAGGCCCATTGAGTTTATGTTGTGTCACAACTAAAACGAAATGGAAAAATAGCCCAAAAACAAAGCTAAAACCAGCCACTTAGGGAGATGGCCTAACGGGTTTTTTAATGATGTTGGATGACCTAATAGGTTTTTTAATGATGTTTCACTTTCGGGCTATTTTCAACCCTCTGAACCTTTCGGTTGGAGATGGCCTAACAGGTTTTTTTAATGATGTTGGATGACGAGAACAAATTTGAGAAGTGAAACAAGACATAACGAGGAATGAAATTGATCAGTTTGGAATAAACTGATAGTTGATAAAACAGAAAAGAATAATACGATTAAAACCCAAAAGTAAAGAAAAAGGAGAGAAAAATAGGAAAAGTAGCTTGAATAAACCAATAAAAACCACAACCGTATCGAAAGGTCTGACTACTTTTCAAATATTTATGAAGGAAACGTTGCTCCCTTTCCCACCTTTCCTTGCGTTCCATGGACTCCACTCCTTCCGTTCCCGCTGATCAACCCGACGCCGCAGACCATGAAAACACCACCACCACAACCACCGTTGATGCCAACCCCAACCCTTCAAATCCGGCGGTCCCAAACTCTTTGCCGGGTGATGCAAGCCCAGAAAAACCCATCGGCAGGAACAAAAAGAAGGCGAAGAAGAGGGTATTAAGAGACCCTTCTGCAGCGTCCTCCTCTTCTTCTGCTTCAATATCTTCGGGTTCGTCTGTCAGAGGAACACGCGTGGCGGGCAAGCGCCGAACCCCTAAGTTGGTTTCCACGGCGTCTCGAAGAAACCCTAATGCAGACGAGATTGCGTTTCGGCTGGGGATGTCAATTGCAGCTTTTGTTGCCCAGGTCACATTTTTTCTATTTTGGTTGTTTGGTGGGTATTTGTTCTGTGTTTGATTTGCGAAATTGCGGGTTTCGAATAATTAATTGATGTTCATATAAATTTTATATCTTTAGTTGAATTTCGGCATTCGTTTTTGGTGTGTGTGGAAAAGTTGTGACATTTAAGCATTAGTTGTTTGTGATTTGGCTTCTTCAACTCTCTCGAAGTTTATTTTTTTTTGTTATTGGACTCTGGAATGGGCTTTAATGCAGTTGAAGTTTGCGTAGCTAGGTAACTGTGAGCTGAGTTTATGCTTTAATTCAAAGAATTATGTCGTTAGTTTCTGAAATTGAATCGTGGATGATTTGGATTTGGTGGCCGACGCTGCGTTATTTTTGTAGTTCACAATGTTGTGTTGATATGAAGTTTGTGTCTTTTGATTTCATGTTTAATAGTAATGAGCTTCTTTACAAGGATTGATGGGCAGTGGTTAAATAGGTATTGGCTGGTGGGGATTTATATGTACAAAATATTGTTAATTGTCGCTCTTTAAGGAAATATGGAACATATTTGGGTTAGCCTGGGGTTGCGGCTTGTTGGTATTTGTTTATGTAGCGATTCTTTTTCTGGTTTAAACGTGATTTGGTGTTTACGAATTATAGATTATGAGTATATTATCTTTGTCTTCTATTTCTTAAGTAATATGCTCCTGCGTATGAATGTGGATATCGTGTTGTTGGTCCTGTAAAGCTTCAGCGAAATGGATTTGTGAGGATGTAATTACAGATGTGGTCCATGCTGAACGTAGAAATCCTATGTCAGTTGAAGGTGCTTGGTGTTTGTTTTACATATTCTAGCTTTATTACTTTATGGCTGAAACAGTATTTTATTCACATGGTATTATTTTATTTTTCGTGTTTTTGAAAATTCATTTGGTCTTCATCTTTAATTTCTTTTCTTTAGTCTTGCCTCTTGGGTTTTTCTGGTGTTAGTTTCATGTGGTCATTCTTCCTCCAGCTGTTACTTTCACGTGGTGATTCCTATCTGGCTAATTGTGGTTCTTTCAGAGATAACTTCTATGCTTCATTTCCAGTTTTTGTAATTCTGAGTAAGTATTAAACAATGACAATTTGGGTTTGATGCTTTCTCATTCCAGATTCTGGAAAGGAATGGTGAGCTAGGTGCAGGGATGTCGTCTGATCATCTTGCTAAGGTATTCTTCTTTCCATCCTAGACGACCTACATCAACAATAAGCTTTACCTTACACCATCAGTTATCTGTTTGTATTTAATTTCTTTCATTTTCAAACTTCACTATTTATAGTTAGTCCATCGGACATGTAATTGACCGTTACTTGTTTACTACTAAAGAAAACTGCATGTTCATATGGCCAAGTTACCCTTATAGTGACATTCTGGCTTGTGATATGAGGTGTTTTACTTCAATTGATGAAATTGTTGTCACACAAAAAGTGAAGCCTGTCTGTAATGGTGGGGTTGAACTTTTCTTTTCTCCATCCTTCATATAGTGTTTTTTTGTTTTTTCTCAAATTAAATTTAGATAATAGGGAATCAACTAATATAATCTTTCTGTAATGCAGATATGTGCTTCAGCTGTCAGAGAATCTTTAGCCAATGTAAGCCAGACCTAACTGCTGATTCATCCATTGAAAGTGGTTTTAGAAGTTCCTTCTTGTCGTTCATAATCAACGCCCCACAGGTCCTAGATGCTAAACTGGTATTTATCTTCCTTGAATGCCCATGTGCCAACAGGATTTTGGGAACACATTTGATTGTTTTATCAGGAACTTTGAAGAATCATTTGGAAGCACCTTGAGGACTCTAAAATCGATCAAGGAATCATCTACAGAAAACAGGGGATATATCTCAAGCCACCAAAACATGGACAGGTCAAATCTGCGTGTGCCTCATGACGAGCATGATGATTGTTTAAGAAGAGAAAGCAGTTCTGTTATAGAAGATTGTCACTCAGAAGAGATTCCCCACACTAATGCAACCCTGGGTCATTTAAATTATAGAGACGAAGTACAGCAGAATATGTTAACAGATTCTCTTAATCTGGAGCTCTCTTTGCATGGGCAAACAAACCAGTTGGCTTGTGTTTTCCCAAGGATTTCTGAATCTGGAACCAACCAGTCTATTCTTAAAACTATTGGAAAATCTGTCATGGAGCAAGCCCGTGCAAATGACCTCAAAACATTGGAGCTTAATCTTACAATACAAAAAATGAAGATGAAAGAGACACAACTGGATCTCCACTATGATTCTAATCAACTGGAGAGATCAAAATTTGCTATGGGCATATCAAAGCAATCGTTTAAAGCTGAAAAGTTTAAGAGTCAATTAGAAGACATCAGACATGCTGAGCTGCTTCGAAGGTGTAATGACTGTCTAGTTTTTGGTTTGCTTGTCATGGCTGGATTCCTGATGTATGGTGTTTATGTCTATTCATATGAAAGACTTACAGAAGGAACTGCATCCTGTACATCTCCTTCAACAAAGGTATTTCGTTTTTTCTCTCTGGCTTTATCTGATTTGGTACAAGGTTCACTTATTTGTCAGTGCTGTTATGACTTGGCTTTCCTACACAAGTACACATAACCCTGTTGACAAGATGTTGCAAATTGTTTACAATGTGAGAGAATACGAAGACACATTTCACAACAACAACAACAAAGCCTTACCCCACTAAGTGGGGTCGGCTATATGAATCCTGGAACACCAATGCACTTGGTTTTGTGCCATTTCTTCTGTTAGATCTAAGTAGTCCAAGTCTTTTCTTAGGGTTCCTTTCCAAGTCTTCCTAGGTCTTCCCTTAACCCTTTGGCCTTGAGCCCCTGTCTCGTAATCACATCTTCTAACCAGAGTGTCTGAAGGTCTTTGTTTCACATGTCCAAACCACCTTAACCGATTCTTTCTCATTTTGTCTTCAATTTCGGCTACTCCCAATTTACCTCAGATATCCTCATTCCTAATCTTGTCGTTTCTCGTGTGCCGACACATCCAATGAAGCATTCTCATCTCCGCTACACTCTTTTTGTTTACATGTTGATGTAGGAAAAATACTGAGACACAGTATGTAGGAAAAATAAATCTCTCATACTAAGCTGTATGTATGAAAAATCAGCAGCAACCTCTTTCTTGGTCGCGTTCATAGAAAGATCTTCAAGAACAGCCAGAACTATTCATTGGCTTCAGATTTTTGGATCTTTGGACTGTTCATAGAGTTACATCATCAATTGATTCTATGTGAGAAAATCTCATAGGAAAATATTTAGGATTTAATTTTACTATAGAGGGAAGACAATCCGATGACCAGTACTAAAGAAAATTATGATTAGTTGGGCTTATTAGACGACGCAAGCTAAGAAATTAGGTTCACTTCATTTGGTTTTATTCTTTTAAAGCTATAATTTCAGGGTTCAGCTATGTAGCTTTTTAAATCTTTAGAATTTAAGAATTTGGTTAGTCAAGTTTGATTATTATTGCATTCTGTTGTATTGGTTTTTAGGATAAACTACGTTTTCCCCCCCAAGGTTTCGGGTGGCTTTCAAGATGGACGACAAGGTTTTTGATGTTATTATGTTAGCATTTGACACCTGAAGTTTTAAGATTACATTAACTAAAAGCTTTCGTGATGATAAAGTTCGGTTTTGCTTAATTGGTGACGCAGCAATTACGAAATTCATTTTTTATGCTAACGTTGGGAAGAAGGTTAATAAAAAATTTAAAAGCGCAGAGATAGGTAAAAACTAATAGGATTTAAGATATTAATAAAATTATTTCTTGTATGGTTTTTCTTCCACACACCAGCACAAAAATGGGTCCCACAGTTGCCAGTTCCCACATCATCAACTTAAACAGCAGAAGTAATGATCAATCTGACAGAGGGTTAAATACATGAAATTCTAAAACTTGACGTTGTAAGTTTAAAAAAACTGAACGTCGTGGCCGACTTTAAAAACCAATTCCAAACCTTTTGGAAAATGTAGTTATTCTACTGGAAGAAAAATCATATGCATGAAATATGATGTTTCTCCACTTCATGCACTAACATTGATTTTTGTCTGGGAAATCTTAGTGATTCTTTTTTGTCTCAGGGTTCGAAGTCTTGGTTGAGATGGGAAGCCTGGGATCCAATGACATCTTTCAATTCATGGTTTAATGTTCTATGGTGTAAGGTTCAAGTTTTATCTCGAGCGCTAATTGGTCTCTTAACGATTGTTGCAATTACTTTCGTCTTCCTCCATTGCTCAGCAACTGCAAAACGGATAATGCCAGTAACTTACATAGTCTTGCTATTGGGACTTTTGTGTGGTACTGCGGGCAAGTTCTGCATAGACACATTAGGAGGGAACGGTAATATTTGGGTTATGTGGTGGGAGATTTTTTGCGCGCTGCACTTCTTGTGTAATGTCTTTACATCGACCTTGTACCTTATCCTGTATGGATCAGTTGATGCGTCCCAAGGAGCAAAAAGAAAAACAAGGTTACCATACTGCATCCGGCGAGTGGTGTTCTTTGCTATTTTGTTTCTGCTTCTTCCAGTGTTTTGCGGCCTCTTGCCTTTCGCAAGCCTTGGTGAATGGAAACATCATTTTGTGGTGTGGGTCACTGATCTTGGTTACTGGTGATGAAAGGTGGCTACTGGAGTGCTGAGACGAGCTGCTTCTTTTTACTCAACGAGGTAGCTTTTGAGTAGAGGCCGGCGTTGTAATTTGTTTGTAAGTTATGGGAAGCTGCCGTTGTATCATATGCCGGAATAATCAGGCTGGCATTGTAATTTGCTGTGTACTATTAGCATTTTGAGTGTAGTGAGAGGGGGGGGGGGGGTGGTTTTGCGGCCAAGGGTTGGGGGCTGTTTAAACTCTTGATGTGTATTATCAGATATTCAAATGAATATATTGCAATATCAATTAAATAATTTTAACTGGTTTTTGTTATTATGTCTATGTAGACAAGTTAATTTCGGTGAAAATAAATGTTCACCAATGCATTAAATTTCGGCATGCGAGGGTTTACGTGGGATGTGAGGACGGATGAGTCATTGAGGACACATGTCGACATTTGGTGGAAAATAACTAGTCAAGTACCACTACATGTGCTGATTCTTCCATCAACGAGATTAAGTCATCATGACCATCGGGTCAACAACACTCCGCACCTTACATTTCGGAGATCGAATCAGAGGATTCAAATTGTAAAGAGATTGTAACCCTAAACTTATTAATACAATTATTAGTTTGTACATGTGTTCTTGTTTCATTTGTTACAAGATTTTTGTGTTTATAGTCTACTGTTAACCTTTTTTTGGCATATTGTCGATTAGCACTGTAAATCTTAGTCATATTTTCATACACTTACAAACAGATGTGTTGCCACGTGATATCACGGTTTATAAGTATTACTTTCACTTGTAAATTAGAGACCTTAAGTTTGTATACTGTGAATGACGAGTTCAACTCCGTATTTTAGTATATAAAAAAATTTAAATGTATTAGGTTCGATTCACAGGGTCTCAATGTTAACGACTTCACATTACTCTAGTGACCTTAATTGTCATTTCACAAAATAAAAGTAGTATTTTCCTTCTTCTTTTTTCCCGCATGACGTAACACATGAAATATTGATCGGATCCTTCCCTATCAGGTTACGAACAAATGATCACCAAATAATGGTCCTGTGGCCAGGAAGATCTTCGTCTGATCCTTTTTGTGAGAATTTTGGTGATCATTCAATCACATTCGTTTATCGTATATCGTGTGGTCAAAAATTATTATAATTTTTTTATTTAAAATTAAAAAAATTGATTGCACGATATACGATAAACGAATGTGATTGGAGGATCTCATAATCCTCACAAAGAGAATTCAACGAGGATTCTCTCTCAGTCTCATGGACCCTTTTGCTATGGGATACAAAACTCCACGCGGCCATAAAAATTATTTTTCATTTATTTGTTTAAAATTCTGATTTTGCTACAAATATTTTTAGGTTATGATTTAAGAACGATTAATCATTAATACATCTATTTCTTAATACATTTGTCATTTACAATTAAAAAGAAAGTATCATTTTTGGCCATAGCTATGTGACCGTTACCCGATAAATATACTAAATAAATATAAATACTGTATTCAGGCCATGAAATTTAAACCTAGTTACAATACTGATAGCAGGATGGTAATCTTCTTTGAATTCTGTTTATGAGGATCTTAAGAATTCTTAGATCATATCCGTTCATTGCATATCGTGCGGTCAACTTTTATTAGGTACTATTAGTGTTTAATTTTAAATAAAAAATTCAAAATGATTATCGATCACACAATATAAGATAACAAATAAGATGTGAAGATCTCTAGAGGATTTGGATAAGATTCAAATCCCTTACAACATTCATCATCTAATGATTAAATATAAAAAGCATGTGGCTTTACTACAGTGGTGAAAAAGTGTTAAACTTTTATATGACGGCGTGAGTTCAAATCTCGTTAATAGTTAATATTTAATTTAATAAAATGTATTATTTAACCCAAAAAAAAAAGATTAAATATAAAAAAAGATTAAAAAAGAAAAAAAAGTCCACGTCATTGTCATGGATAGAGTTACGGCCGCAACCCTCGCTTTAGAGCAATCCCAGCGTTGGGTTTTGCTCCGGGGAAGGGGTCCAAAACAATGGCCTAAGGGCCGGTGGTGTCGCTCCAGCGTGGGGGAGCCCGATGGAAGGGGGAGGCCCGAGCTTCGGGCCCGTGAGGGATTGCCAGCCCTTGAGCCCGAGGTGGGGGTGACGCAAGGCTGACGCCAGGGTGGCGTCAGCGCATTATTTAAATTTTTTTGTGTCAGGCGCGTGCACCCCACCCGCGCGTGGGGGCGCGTCGCCGACACAAAAATCAGAAAAAAAAAGAAAGTGTCAGTTACCGTTGGGAAGCCACGTGGCTTCCCACGGTGCGTTAGATCTTAACGGTCACTTAATGTGGACCGTTAGATCTCAACGGTAAAAAAAAAAAAGTCAGATTTAATATCCACCGTTCGATCTGAGATCAACGGTGGATATTAAAATGCTTTATAAATTAAAAAATAAATGAAAAAATAGTTTTAAAAATCTGAAAAATTACCGTTGTGACACGTGGCACAATCTGGAGTGTTGGAATTCAAATTTTTTTATATCCAACGGCAGAGATTAATTAATTGAATAAAAATTTAAAAAAAATTGTAAAAAATTCAAAAAAATATCTGAAAAATCTGAAAAAAAATTGTAAAAAAAATTGTTTTTACTTTTCTATAAATACCTTCTCATTATCATCTACCTTACACAACAATTTCATATTTTCTCAACTACTTTCAATCACATTCCTTTCTTTGTCTCAAAGTTTGAATCCATTTTTTTTTCAACAAAATGACTACTGGTGCAGGTACGAATTGGTCGCTTATTGAAGATGTTGCGTTGTGTACTAGCTGGGTTGAAGTTACTCATAGTTCGCTTACGGGTAATGAGATGCAGTTGCGAGAAATGTGGAGTCTTATTCATACCAATTTTCTTGAGAAAATTGGTGGGAAAAGAACCAAAGAATCGATGTCTAGTCGTTGGAAATTACTTAGCCAATCGTTTAGTACGTGGAGAGACGCTTTGTGTGACATCCCGTCCCGGCAATATAGAAACATACATGTGATTTGACCGTTTTACCCCTAGTTTGTTCTTATTACGTTTTTGGTTGTTTTGTGTGGTGTTGACCAAAGCTGGACCACACACACACATCCTATCTCTATCCCTCACCCTCTGTCACTGTCTCTCTCTCTCCCTCTCTCCCCCGAGTCCTTTATTCTTCTTCTTCTTCAAACAAAAACATACGGACACCCACACAACCCTTCAAACCTGGACAGATCGAGGGATCCAAGACCACCATCGAACTCGTGAGGTTGAGTGGAGTCCAGTGGTACCATTTTCAGGTAGGAACTCCGACGTTTTCACGTCGATTTCACGAGCTAAGTTTTGGTTACTATTCATGAAAATTTAATTTACTTAGTTTTTGGACATTTGAAGCTTGTAGCTGTGTTGGTGAGGTCCCAAGGAGCTTGGGAGTGCATCGTTGGACAAATTTGGACGTCGGGATCGTCCTGTACGAAGTTGGCCGGTTTTTGATTTCGTGGACAGGTATGTTCGCGTAGTTTTTAGCCCTTAAAACTAGTCTATCGTGATTCTCCTAGTTCTAGGGGTCATTTTGGTGCAAGAAACGTGAAAAAAGGTGGAAAAACGAGTGAGATATGGCGAGTTGCAGGTTTCCGGCGACGGCGCCGTCGCCGGCGAGGGGGGGTTGGCCGGAGAAGACAGGGGAATATTCCGTTAGGGTTTAACGGAATATTCCTAACGGACGTTGACGGCGTCAGTCAGGGTTAACGGAATATTCCGTCAATTCCAGGGAATATTCCTGACGGCTTCACTTGACGCCGTCAGCGGGCAGGGCACATGGCCGCGCGTGGGGGGCGCGTAGGTCCGTGTCTGTGCTGGCGCATGGGGGCGCGTGACAAGTCCAAAAATTATTTTAAAAATATGGTTGTGATCGTGAGGTTGTGTAGATCACGTTGGTATATTCATTTGTCCATTTTGAGCAATGTATGAGAAGTTATTTTGAACGGACGGTTATGTGCTTTAAAGTTAACGTTTTTATAGTTAATTCACATATAGGTGACACGTATCCCGAGAACGAGCGTGCACATTCGAGGCAGGGGGGCTACGACCCTTCCACATACCAGTGAGTGGGCTTTTGTTTTCCGTATATACCTATATACGTATAAATTCCCAGAAATTAGTATAATTGCTTTGTTTTATGCCATTCTTTTTATATGATTGATGGTTAGGCATGACTAATGGCTTATACGCTTAAGTACATATTCATTTATGATTTCATTATATATGTTGGTGCTGTGGAGGCGTAAGTAAGTAGCCAGGTAAGCATTATTTAACATTTGTATTAAATAGCGGTTAGAGGTGCTTAGAGGGCTCATAACCTGTTCCCCCGGTGTTAGTGCTCCCGCCCAGAGTAGGGCACAGTCCTTCACGTGTTGTTCACCTCCCGCACCACACGCTCAGCTTGAATCCAAGTTAGGTGCACAGTCCTGTCGTACAGACCACTATAGGTGGTTCCGACTCGTAGGTGACCCGCGATTATTCGCACAGCCTTCACGTGATCGTAGCACTAGAGCGTTCATATGTAGTACACCCATGCCTGTCGTACAGACCACTATAGGTGGTTCCGACTCGTGGGCAGGTTTAGTAATTTAGTTGAGATTTGAGCTCTAGATTCAGCCGTACAGGTCACTTAGGGGACTCCGGCTACCAGTTTATGATGCTATTGATATGGTTTATACCTGAGCACATGCATGATATTATGAGGTTTTGTGATGGCATACCTGTGAGCATGATCGGCTTACCCTTGAGCATGACTTGGCATATCTACGTATATATGTTTAATTCTGGGAAAGTATACAGGTTTTACGGCGAGGGGTTATTATATGTTTTATGAAATGATTTTCCAATATTTGGTTTTGCCCACTCACGCTTTTGTTTTTGCGCCCCTCCAGGTTCTAGTAGCTTAGCGGGTTCGGTGGTTTTCCTAGAGACGTCCCGGCATTCTGACAGACATTCACCTATGTAGGGTCACCTTCGGGTGCACTATTGTCGTATCGTTTCTTTTGGACTGCTGTAGGCCTTAGGCTCTGAATTCAGTGTCTTATTTACGCTAGCACATATTCTATCACTCTTTATTTGCTAGTTTTTAAATTATTCGTACTTTTATATTACTGTTTTTAGCTTCCGCACTGTGCACATGGCTACGTCACTTCCACGTGACGGCCAGCATGCCCTGATCTCGGTTGGGGTGTGTCACTTTGGCACAAGCTAGTAGTAATATTCGAAGTGGGGAAAATTACTCG